GACGTTTTGATGGTTGCGATAGAAGCTACATGTTCTGTTAGCACGAGCATCTCTTGGAATGCAGTTGTCTTGGGATTCTACTCACCCTGCGGCATACCTGGTGATATGTTGCACTGCATATGTGTAAGCAAGCATTTTAATGGCCTCATTATATGGGTTGTGGCACATACCTCCACATCTGCCTCACGCTCCATGCGTCTTTCAATGGCCCCATGAGAGGCGGCCATTCCCAAGTTTCCGTCGCTCCTGTCGCAACACCCAGGGCAGCCGCGAGTCGATATGCGCAATTCAGCCTATCCCATATCCACACCGCACCCAACCATCCCACGATAGCATTGACGACAACTGTCTTGAGTAGCTCATCCGATCTAATTTGCGCTCTTAAGGCACATCCTAGACCCAGTCCGGCTAACGTCCCCATAGATTGCACGTAGTAGAACACTACCCACCACATTTGCCAGCCCACGTACTGCCACCTTGGCAGCTTTGCATGCGGATCCGCAGGAACACCTTTCACCTGCCAATTCCATCCAATTCCCCTATGCACGGGCAGCATCAGCCTGAATGCCCACTTCACACGTTGTGAGAACGTCGTTAAATCCTTCCAACACTGGCCCTGGGCAGTAATAACGCCCCCCTCATCCCCACGCTCTTCATCTGTAAGTTGGCGGCCAATGAACGCAGGCGCGTCCTTGCCGTCTCTTGGCGTCAGGAAGACAAAGTCAAGGTACCACAGCGGAAAGGCAATGAATTGGCTGTTATTGTAGTAATCTGAAGAGGGATCCCCAGTAGTGAAGCACGGCCAGCTGGCGCATAAGTAGAGCAAGAAGGGCCAAGTGGAGAAGGCTGAGAAGCCTTTGTTTTCTACTAGAAAAGGTACCAGGGCGAGACCGAGACAGCCAGGCGTGTAATAGGTGGGAAGGGGTTTGCGCTCTGAGAGAGCGGGATAGAGAGACGCAACGATATCCATAAGAACAAATACAACGTTTTAACCAGATAGAGGATCTGATCGGTTGATTGTACGGACTGACTGACTGATTGAATCATACCCCGCTTTTGGCTGCTCTTACTCAGCAGCTGAACGTAAGCGGCAAGCGTATCGACATTCTGATTTCTATACAAAATGAAGGTTTTTGAACACCAATTCCAATATTTAAAACATCTAGTGTTGAGGCGTGTGATTACTAGCAAAGCAATAAAACAACAAAAAAGCAAGCGAACGAATGTAAACGCGAATTATAGTAAGAGAATGAGTTGAATTAGTAATTATCTAGGTATTCTAGTAAAATAAAATAAGAGATTATTGATAGACAGCCTGAGTACCAGGCATGTGACTATGCCTACTCCTGCAGTTGCCTCAACAAGAAATAATATTAAATCATGTGCATAAGCTCATTCAGGGTCAAGGTTTCTCTGAACCCGTCTGAGCTGTTTATCCAGCCCCAGTTTGACTCTGTCACGCTAAATTCTGAACCCGTCGCAACTCACATGCCCAGTTTAGACTAGCGCGGTCCCTATGTATAGCACCTTCGAACAATTGTAATTCTTGTGTTATGCTTAGCTTATTTATGTTACATCCTGATCATGAATACTAACGATCAACATATACATTTTGTCAACGTAAACGTGTACATTGTGCATTTTGAGATAGTACCACCTGATAGTTGAATTAATCGACAGTCTTTCTATAAACTAATGCGCGCTCTGTCAACACAACAATGAAACAAACAACATATTGTGGAGTTGAGAGCACAAAAGAATAGCGAGCATATTAAATCCATATTATACCTTGAGTTTATTCTGAATACATCAGCCTCCTACACAGTAAACGGCAAGTAAGCTCCATGGGGCCAAAGCTTAAGGCCTTCCATCCGATCTGCAAGGGCCCGAATATCTTTTCCCCTCAGGTACCCTACTGGGGCCAAAACTCCACTTCTCACAGATCAGCATACTCAATACAGAAATGATCATAGATCTACACCTCGAAGGGCCAAGAATCCAACTGAAGCGTGAAATGAGCCACCATAATGGGTTCACGATGACTGCGCCTGGAATCGACGGGTGTGTTCGGCATTGCACTGCCCTGAGTATAGTAACAAGACAAGCAACTGAATGGGGCGGAATGTTGAATAAGAAGGTATAAAGTCGGTCTTCTTCGCTCTTCATCTCGATAACAATCCAGCTCAACTTCTCTCTCTCAATCATCTACATACTTCGTTACCTCCCACGAACAAACCACTTATCCATCCTCACATTTTTCTATCAAAAAGAAATCTCAACCAAAAAAGCAAGATGCAACTCCACCACTTCCTCCCTCTCGCCGCCATGGGCGTCCTGGCCCTCACCACCACCGCCGAATCCACTCCCCTCTCAACCCGCAGCGAAAGCATCACAATCACCACCTGGTCCGGCAACAACTGCGAAGGTTCCTCCGCCAACCCTGCCATCATTGGGTCTGGAGAATCCTGCTTTGTGAGCCTTCCCGGGGCGTCTTTCAACGTCGGTACCGCCGACAGCAAGTGCAAGATCACCACCTGGTCTGGGGACAACTGTCAGGGAAGTTCGGCGAACTTTGCCGGAGATGTGCAGGGATGTATTGGCATTCCTTTTGCGTCTGTTAGTGTCGATTGTTAGGTGTGGCTCGAACTGAGGATGTCTCTGCTGTATCACTAGGAGGATTGACCGGATTGGGCCATGTTCGAATGGGCTGTTTGTTATATGAGTGTTTCTGTTTGATGTATACAGTATCTTTTGGATAAATTGCAGTATTTCTTTATACACATCGAAGTGAATGTTATCTATCTGGCTACCTCCTATTACATATACACTATATCATGGTAATCATAACCTCGCTTTCCTCTCACCACAGCGTTAGTCCTAATCAGTCGGCGCAAACTTACTCCAGGACCGAATCCTACTTCCATAGATATAGAACAGAATCGGCACGGGGAACAATATGGCCGTCAAACATCCCAGCAGGGTCATAGCCCACGGCACGCCCAGATTATGGAACTGCATCATAAATCAACATGTCTCGTTCGCCAAAAGCCCCATAAAACTGTAAACAAAAGGGAAAACTCACCATCGGAATAGCAAACATGGGAAACCCCGCCCCCAGCCCCGACCGAAAGAAGCAGTTCGCCGCAATAGCCGAGTTGGCATTGATATTATAGCAATCAATGATATAATTCAGCCCCTATACCATCATCATCAGCATCACACCACAAACACCCAAAGAAAAGAGAAGACATACCTGCATAAAAATCAACAGTATCCCCGCCCCCAAGAATCCCCCAGCAATGACCTGCGGCACCCAAATAATCCCCGGATTACTCGTCCAACCAAACCAAAACATGCCGGCAGGCAACAAAACCCCCCCAATCATCATAGGAATCAACCTCTCCTCCGGAACAACATGGCCCTCCCGTTCCAACACTCTCTGAAACCTCGTCTTGGTAAAAAACACAATAACACAACACCCAAACACAACCCCAACGGCAATGGAAATAAATGGCAGTGCCCCAACACCCTCATTCCACCCCCTCAACTCCTGAAACGCCACGGGATACGCCTCAAAACACAGATACAAAAACCCATAAATAAACCCCATATACAACGTGACAAGCAACAGAATCGGCTCCCGGACAAGCATCAAGAACGGCCTGACGAGATACACAGTCGCAATATGCCTCAGATCAACCGGCATCTCCTCCGACCGCGCATGCAGTGCCCAATTCCTCGTCTCGAACCGCTTCCTCCGCGCTCTCCGCTCCAGTAAAACAGGCCCAAACGTCTCCGGAACAATCAAGAACCCCACAGCCCCAAAAAAGAACGCCATAATGGCCGTGATATACTCCGTCCATCTCCACCCCAGATAACTCATCGTGATGAACCCCCCGACAATCGGGCCCGCGACCGGCCCCACGAACGTAGCGCCTGCGAACACAGCGATCGCTATCCCCCGCTCCACAGGACCGAATATATCTGCCAGCATACCACCAACAATCGCTAACGGCGCACTAGCAAACAACCCGCCCAGGAACCGGCATATCATTATCGTCTGGAGGTTCTGCGCCACGGCAACCGGGATCTGGAATATAGCGAAGATGAAAAATCCCACGAACAGGGGGGTTTTGCGGCCGTAGAGCTCGGATAGGGGACCGAAGAAGAGCGGGCCGAAACTGTATCCGAGAACGAAGAGACTTGTGCCGAGAACCATTACTTCGGAGGAGACGTGGAATTGCTTCGCGGTTACGGTGGATGCGGTGCTGAAGACGCTGGAGGCGAAGGTTACGGATATGGTCATGAGGCCGAGGATTATTGTTATGAGCCATTTGCGGGGACGCGGGATGTTTTGGGGGTTTTCCTGTCATGGGTGGGTGGTTAGGGTTTGGGATTGGGTTTTGAGTATAGATGGGGTCGGGGAGGAGGGTGGGATGGGACATACTGGGTCGTCTGGACCATCCCAGTCCACGATGTTGGGGTCGGATTCTTTGTTGTCCTTTGTGCCTTCGGCCATGCCGTCGTGGAGACGCTGTTTCTCTATGTCTTTATCATCGTGCTCGTTCGGTAAGGTGCTGCTGGAGTGATGGCTGCGACGGGATTCTTCCGCCGGCGAGGCAGTCTGCGTGCGCGTGTCTTCCATGGTGGATTCACAGCTACTATGCACTCGATTTGATATTCCTACGCTACATATTGTGTGCGTTGACTACTGTATTTATTATGCATTATTTTAATGTATGTATCTGGTGGGATGATGTCAAAGTAAACGGCGTATCCGACCGGATCCGGCGACGTCATCTGCGCTGGTGGCAAGCTGCCATATCGGCGCTAGCCATTGGCTCTCAATACAATTCTATTAAAACAAGACCTGCTTGCTTAGTTGTACATAAGAGAACCTCCACATGGACTGACATCACCCAATCTGTCGGTGCCTGACTCGCACCATTCCCTAACCCGACAATCGGCTCTCGGCTCCACATATCCGGTCGCCGGCTGGTTCAAGTATTGTTGGAGCATGAGAAGCTGGTGCTTTTGGGGTGATCATGGATTGATTTTCCGGAGACGTAGAGGCCCAAGGCGCACTGTTTGGTTAGTATTCTGGTGATGTTATTGTGATGAGGTGGTGGGTTGTATGCTTACTAGGCAGCCACCTACGAGTACCACGAGCAGGTTCAGACCGGTCAGTAGGATCTTGCGGCGCGAGGAGGAGTATCTGCCCCAATTTAGGAATAGCCAGAAGATTCCACTTAGTCCATCTAAAAGATTGGTTAGTGCAGGGATGGTTCTAGACTCGGCGGAACTCACATGTAAACCAGCTGGCAAAGAGCGCCGTCTGCGACTGTTAGTCTTGTTCAACAACACACACGCCATGGAAAACCTACGATCAGACTCAGCAAATCGTTGAACACAGGAATCGCCTCAGAAATAATCCACGCCAGCGTCCACAGCACCAACCCGATCATCACCCACGTCCCAATCGAGACAAGTCCGCGTTGGTGCATGCGGTCGGTTCCCCGGAACAGACGGACGTAGATGTATTTGCACGCCACATGACCATTGATCACGCCAGCGATCACAATCTACGTTACTTATCAGTACTTTTCAAGCAAGAATTCTGGAGGGCGGCTTACTGTCGGAATAGCAACGCCGTAGGCAATCTTGGACATCAGTGGACTGGTCGATCCCAATGCCGGAGATGCCACGTCCTTTCCACCATAGCGGTAGATGACGACCGCCGAGATGGTGTACATTGACGTATCAATACCCTGCAGCATGTACAGTGTCTTGGGGTAGTCGGTCGGCGTGCGCATTTCTGAGATGAATCCGAAGAAGGCCACGTGCCCGGCTGGGTTGGTTAGCTTTGTTTCTGCTCTTCAAGGACTGATTTGGAAATACCGTATGCGAAGACAATGTTGGTGACAGCCAGGAAAGCCTTGTAGAATGAATTGTCAACGACAGCATCAACACGGCCGTCACCTGGCTTTTGGATCGCGATCGCAATCATGGTGATCAACACTGCGGCAGTGATGCTGATGAAAGCTGTGACAGTAAGCCTTCAGCATTATCATAGTTTTCTGAATGCACGTACATGAAATCGAAAACCAAGACACCTTCTTCAGCGTCCGCGGCAAGGTGAAGACGAACGCCACCGCCAAGCCGATCACACCAAACACAATAGAACAGGCGCCATGATCAGTCAAGGTATTCATCATCACAGTAAAGGTCAGAAGGTGACTGCCCATGATAAAGATCAAAAACAACAGCTGCGCAGTCCCTAGCACTTCGCGACCGATGCGACCCATCAGGACCTCACCGGCATCACCCATACTGTGCACATGCGGATACCGGAGTTTGAACTGTCCTAGGGTATAGCCCGTGTAAGTTGCCAGAGCACCGAGGCCAAGGATGAGGATAACGGCTCTGCAAGGCTAAGTTAGCCACCAAGCCACTCTCCGTCGACGATACCAATCATAACTCACGCAACCAGGCCAAGCGACGCCACGGCCGAGGGTAGGGACAGGATGCCCAGGGATATTGTCTCTGCGACCATGACTGTACAAGTTATTAGACCTGGTTTGTTGAAAATACTGGCAGTTACATACTCATTGCACATTGCCTGAACAGTTAGCCAGGTCCAAGCCGATCTAGATGAAGGGATGAACACTTACCACCAAGCCAAAGTGCGGTACTTCACCCCGCCGACACCATCATGACTGAAAGGATCCTCATTCTCAGCGGCGCTTCTCAGATTGACAGGTTTCTCCTGCTCGGCGAGCGTGTCCTCAGGGTTATTGATCGCACTCAGGGACGACATGGTAGCGACCAGGGAAACCCAGTGATCCGCGTCACAAGCAAGCAAACAAACCAGCGGAAGACTAAGCAGCCACGACCAGACAAATGAGAGTAGTGATGATGAGTGGAGGTGAAAACAACAGAACAACACAGGACTGAAGACGACTGAAGGAAAGGAGAGAAAGTCAACGAGACAAATTCTGCAGACAAACACAGAGCCCGCTGGTAAGGGTCCAGGGCTCCTGTTGTTGGGAGAGCTAATCCACTTTGCTCAGCCAGGATCCTCACCTGGTGAATACATCCGAATGGAGCGTCATCTCACGTCATCTAGGGATATGATCTGGAATTCTGGGGGTGGAAATGCGGGGTTTGCATTCAGGCTCAAACCGTTCGGGGAATGCCGAAGCTATCCAGTGCCTCTATCCAAGCATATCGCGTATTACGGAGGACGAGCGACAGCGGATGACCTGTAGAGTTTTCGGGGATGTTCAAAACCTATCATGTAGAGCCCAACAGTGTCAGAGCGATGTAACCTCCCAACCAATTTGGGCTCGGGACCGTGGATGTTGGATCTCTATTCCTACTGCTGAGGTATTTGTCAGACCAAAAGTAATCGATTCAATGCAATCATTCAATTCGCGATGATTCCAAAAAAAAGTCCAAATCTAGCTAATCGGAGCGTAATTCCAAATCAAAAAAATCCAAAGCAGTAAGCAGTTGTCTATGGGTATTGTGCGCGCAACGCAAGTCTATCATCTATCGTCTATCCTCTATCCTCGTCTCGGTTCGTATCATAATGTTATGCCTCTTGCATCGTTGCCAAACACACGCGGTCGCGCAAATAGAGTTCAATTCCCGCCTCGGCACAGGCACGGTGCAGCGGCTCTACCGTCTGATACACCCGGGGTTTGATCACTTTCTCGTCGGCGGCCTCCGCCGGCTGGTAGCCCGACGCGTCCTCGTCCTCCTCGTCGTGGAAGAAGCCTTCAACATCAAGTCGTCTCAGGCCTTTGAATTGCGTCTTACGCTTGTTGAGGACCTTCTGCAGCTGTCCAACCAGCATGGCCAAGGAATTCTCCTTACAGCCTTCCACATACAACGATTCGACCGACGCGGGAAGCACATCGGTGAGCGGGCACGACGGTTCATACTGGTAGCGAACATCAAGCAGGTTGGGCAGACGGATGCGGATATCCTTCAACGCAGTGAACTCCGTCAGGGGTCCAAACCACTCGTCGTGCGTCTCGTTCGCTCCGGCAATGGTGAAAGGCAAGTGGGTGCCGCAATTATCCAGCCACAGGGTGTGCAGGCTGCTCTTACTGCTCGCCAGGGACTCGAAGAATGCAGAAGGCTGGAACCCCTCTGCAAGTAGGTGTGAATCGGAGTGTTGGTACTTGAAAGATTGGAGCGAAGAGCATGAGGCGATCAGGCTTTGCATGCCCTGAGATCCACTGCTCGTGTTTAGTGTAATCTCAGCAATGGACGAAGAGCCGGGAGTAGGCTCCTCAACCGGATGGGTTGGTTCAGGCTCATCCTCGCGTGGGCGGGTGGACTCGACCACCGAGTCCGCCGAAAATGCCCGCATGGATGGCAATTGAAAGAAAGGGAGGACCTGGGAAGTCATGTAGCTTCCTCGACTGTCTTCCTCGTCGGCTAAATGGCTCAGCGACACATCCCGCAACACACGGAATGCCGGCTGGTCGTCGAAAGGCTTCTCTCCCCTCACTGCCCGCTGCATCATGCGGTCCAGGTAGACATTCTGCTTGGGGTACACTAATTGCAAATGCCTCAGGTTACTCGCCAGCGGCAGGAGAAGCGCAATCCAAGCCTCTTCAACATTGTCCCGGAGATCCTGCTCCCATTTCGTGTGCTCTTCAGCGGTTTGACTGAGGGAATAGGCCAATTGGGCAAACGGCGCCAAATCTTCGTCGGAGGGAGGGGAGGAAGGAGTGGAGGTGGACCTAGGACACCAGTCATGGAAGTCCAAGCTGCGAACCGCCCGAGCCAGCTCGGGGCGACGGAGAACAGCTCCCAGGAAGGAACGCGTCTGGGAGCAGTCCTTCAGGGCAGCTGCTTGGTAAACCAAGCGCAGAAACAGGTCGTGAAAATGACGGCACACAAAAAGAAGGTTGTAGCGGTCCCGATAGTCTTCCACATACTCCCCGACCAGCAGGAGGATGTCATTGGGAAGTGGGAGTGACATACTGAAGGGGGATCAGCAATTGAAACTGAATTCAATGCATCTGGGAAAACAAAGCCAAGGGAGCAGCCACCGGAAGTCCGGGGGGATTTAAGGGTGGCCGCACACGTCGATAACCTAAGATAGGGGAACTGAGTTTTGCAAAATCCACAGCGTTGGTGAACTTTGCCAGCCTTAGGATGGGGAGCAGATCCATCGTGCGGGCCAATGGACGGCAGCTGGCGGAAGGGTCGTGGATCACCAGTGGCATCGGTTGACCTGCTCCATCCATGGTTAATCCAGAAGGGTTCCATAAGGGGCAATGGAGTCCGTATTGACACAACCCATTGCCAACCCATCCACTACAATTATTGCTGCGAGGCATGACGTCCCACCGCTGTGCTGTGTTTTCCCCACTACGGATAGCATCGTCGGGTTCCGCGGTTGTAAGGGCGAGAAAGCACCGAATTCGTTGCGAAGCGGAGATCACAGTCGTGGGGGAGGGCGCATGGACGATGGCGGTGGAAAATTCGATCACGGTGTGTGTTTAGTGTTAGTGTGTACCCGCAGTCGCTTGTCGCCACCGCCATTCAAGGCGCTGACGGGCCGGTGGAGTCGCGACAAAACAGAGGCTCCATCCACCGCGCGGGGGGCAATGCTGATTCTTATTTTGCCGGAGGTGCAGGTGGTGGGAAATTACCCCTCTCGGCTGTCCATGTACTGCAGATGGTTGCATTGTTTCTGCAGCCTGGGAGTCTGTGTCCGTTGCGTTGACGATCGTGATGCTGTCGATCAATGGGCAAGAGGCCTCGTCGCGGGGTTACCACAGTCCTCGGGGACATTCATCTTTTGTATAACGGTACGGGGTAGAACCCAGAAGAGAGAGCTGTAGGCTGTCGTAGAAATACTGGAGCAGTTGCCCTGAGCTGCCAACCAGCAACCAGCGGTATGACAGGGAAACTGTGAGGGTTAGAATGTCCCGAATGGAAGAAAAGAAATCAATCCCGTGATGTCACATGCATGCGATCTGCAGCCCTTCCTCTACTCCGTACCCTCCAATTGCTTTTTGCAAAAGTACTCAATGGCTTCGATGCAATGCAGTTTACATTGTTTGATTAATTGATTGAAGCAATCATCACAGCAACATTGCAATCAGCCATGACCCTCGTGGATCTGCGATTCGGCAGGCCTGCTCGATCGGGCGAGGCGACACTCGGTGGATTCTGGCTTTTCGCCATCGGTGGAGCTCGGCGGATCCCCGATTGATGAAATTTTCCCCGCCGATGAAGCGGTGTTTTGGATTTCATTCCATCGAGGACCTGCTTAGCTGGAGCTTAGATGGAGCATCTTTGACTGTTGCAGTTGACAGACATATTAGAATGGCTACGCTCATAGCCAGGGAAGTGTTATTAAGGTGTCAGTAGATACCTCAGGCATCATAACCCTACAGTTGTCTGCAAGCTACTTACGGAGAATATTCGGCTCTCTGTCAGGAACAAGAGATACGGTGACCGGCTTCCTTTTGGCTTTCCCGACAGCAACCTGATTAGATCCTGCAAATGTGTTGTTCGGCTAGACATGCAGCTAGATAAGTGTGGGTGTGGTAGCTTTCGCCTGAATGCAGATCCACCCGGTCTACTTCCCTCTTTTCATCTCTGAGATCTACTAGCCCTCTACCCATGCCATTAATAATGTTGAATAAACAGATTGTCTCTATTTATCTCGCCAGCTGCGGGTATGGCGGTAGACATGTGCTAGGATCCACGGGATCATACCATGGCTTCTACCTCGCTCCACAGATGATGATGCGATAGGTATCTAGTAGATGCCAACACAAAAGTAGATGATCCTAGCTTATGTTCAGTTTGGCTGATCCGCACGAACATCAAATAATCAATATAGACTACCTTTAATCAAGGTGACTCGGAGACAGTCGTGCCGTAGTCTCATAGTTTCTTCGGTCAGTTCGAATGGCTCCTCTTTCACTGTCTCGCACCTCTTCCAAGCGGATAGAGGCCGGTAAAACCTCAACGATACTGACATGAACATACGGGTCTTGGAGTATGATGTTGGGTAATATTATTCACTGTTTTACGTCTCCTTTTAACTATCTCATGAACATCATGTGATAACACAATAACTCTTTTTATTACATAATATTTTACTCAGCATCTCTCCACCAAGCAACCACTGACTTCCCACTACTTCGGCCTCATGAGCCGGTGATTTGGGGTAACCAGGCATAATGATCTTGAAGATAAAGGTTGTAGATATGTCCGGAACTAGGGCATATAAGGTATTGAGCAACTTTCTTGACTGGATCGCATATAATACTTGCTACAACCTTCCTTCCGCCATGTCTTCTTCAGATCATTCAAGCAAATGATCTGTCCCAAAACCAGCCTTTCTCCTTGGAATGTGACGACCGAGTGACGAGTCTGCCATGGTTCAACGGAATATCTGCTCTAAATAGTCCTGAGGATCGAACACCTCAAATCCAAATTGTCGCTGATTGAAGGACAATCTCATCGGTTCACAGCTTGCAGAGCCGCCTTGTTTTTGTCTCACTGCATCAAGCATTTCTTTGCTCTGAAAACCCTCTTAAAAGTGGCTGACACTCATGCAAGAAATAACTATCACGACTCCCAGAACTCCAATGCTGAACTCAAGATAAAGGCATACACTCCTTTTATGGTCCATGTCTGTTTCTTTCTTGATATGTCGTATTTGGCGGACTACACTGGAGGCAAAGTGGACGACTGTGTAGTTCGTGTCCCTCCAAATACTCGCGCTTAACTGGGAGGCAGGCAAATTCTCTTCTGTGTCAAATTATGAAACAGCAA